CCTCCTCCTCCTCCTCCTCCTCCTCCTCCTCCTCCTCCTCGCTCTCCGCTGGGGCGGCGCGCCCGAGGTGGCAGCCGCGCGGGGCGCGGAGGCGGCAGTCGCAGCCCGCGTGGAGGCGGCCGAGGTTGTGCCGGGGGAGTGCGGCAGGCAGGAAGGAGTGATCAAGGATCCTCATGACATGTGTCAGCAGGGTGGGTGTTGGTGTGTGTGTGTGTGTGTGTGTGTGTGTGTGTGTCGAAGCTCGCTGAGGGGCAGCGAACGCGATCTGTGTTTTTGGGGCGACGGGAGAGAGGGTAATGCTTTTGTAGGGCAAGAGCAAGCATGAGCAGCCCAATCGTGGGCAAGAGCACGCCTGAAATCAGAACTTCTCGCGAAGGGCGGCGGTAAAGATTGCTGTTGACCGATCAAGCGCGCCCGCCGAGCGTACGGGGATCTGGCCCTGGAAACAACGCTGCCCCCCCAGCGACCTTCAATGTGTGTGTGTGTGTGTGTCTACCCCGTGCTCGCTCGCCCCGGGAGTGGCCCCTTTTCTGCTCCCTCCTATCCGCGGTCGCCCGCTCTGCCCTCTGCCCACCTCTTGCGTGCTGGCCGATTCGCTGTTCGGTGCCCCCGTCTAGCTCTATCGCTGGTGCAGCCAGCTCTAACTCGCCGCCGACGGAAAAGTGTTAGCCGTGTGTGTGTGTGTGTGTGTGTCTGTCTACCCCGTTCGGCCCTCACTGCGCCGGCTGCGTCGTATTGAAGTGCTTCGGTGGACCAGCACGCGCTGGCGCCAACACGTGTTCTGAGGGTCGTCGAACGGATGGGGCGAGCCGCTCGTGGGGTCTTGGAGTAGACGAAGTAGCAGCCTGCACGAATAGGTTCTTGTCGAGGAGCGCTTGCCTCACGGCGGCACGTTGCGTCGTGCCAGAAAGGGCCTCGCATCCAGGGCGCCCTCGCCCCCAGCGAAAGCCAGCGGAAGGATGGTGGAAGTAACACGGGGGCGGCTCTGCCTGCGGAAGCTCGGCGCAAGGTTGCGGCACTAGAAGCGAGATGCCAACATTTTGGAATCCAGGGTGCTCGGAATTGCGGCTAAATCAGGTTCCTCCGCAGGTCCTGTGGGAGAGGGGAAGTCGAGAAGACGCCCCAGACTGTATGGCGTGTGCACGTGTGCTGGTGCAGGTGACGGCGTAGGTGCAGCTGCACGGCGCTGGTTTCAAAGTCTTTCCGGATAGCGGGATTCCCACATATGGATAATTTGTCATTGATTTCTCATGCCTTTTAACTCCTGGTATAATTTGACCATCCTGGGACCAAATGTTCTTCACATGGGCTGGCATATGTTCTGGCCAAAGCCGAAAGTCTTCTTTGAGCCTCTCCCTGTTCTGCGCAGTTCTCAGTGTAGCTTGTGCAGGATAGGTCCTTGTGCCTCCCTCCCCACGTGTGGCCCCTGCACGAGAGCTGCAAATCATGGCTGCTCGCCCACCACGGGGGCACTCCGTGGAGCAGCGGACTCAGCAGATTCCTCCTGCAGCCGCCCCAGCCCAAGCCGCTCTGGTCGCGCGCCGCCCGCCCGCCGACTGCGTGCCGCGATGCAGCTGGCCTCCGTCTTCGAGCACGCCCACGGGCACCCCTGCCTTCCCCCGTGGCCGCGGCGGCTGGCCTTCCCGCCGGGGTCGTGGCAGGCCCTTGCAGGCCCGCCGCCAGAGTCCGCAGAAGAAGAAGAAGAAGACGAAGCTTCGGCGCAAATGTACAGTGTCGGAGGTCCGCGCGGACCCCTCGGATCCAAGCGCCCCCCGGCGGCCTTCCGGGAGGCGGCCGAGCTCGGCGCTCCCGCGGCCGACCAGGCCGCGGCCGGGCCCTCGCCTGCGCCGCCGCGGGCGCCCGGCGGTGCCGCCGCCGTCCTGGCGCTCTACCCGCCGGGCCTCGCTCCGCCAGAGCAGGCTGCGGAGCGGAGGCGCCTGCCGGCGCCCGAGTGGTCCCCGTTGCCGCCGGCGCTGCCTGATGCGGCGGCGCTGGCGGGGGAGCCGCCGCCGCCAGCGTGGGCCACGCGCCCTGTGGGACTCGCGGGTGGCCAGGGGCAGCGACAGGGGGTGGGAACTGGCCCGGGGTTGAGTCGGGCATGTCCCTCTACAGGAGGAGCATTCGAAAGCAGTAAGCAGATAGTCTGGGGACGATGTTTTTTTTTCTCTCTCTCTCTCTCTGCCATTTTTGCCATTTTTTGAATCTGTTTTCTGGGGGGACGATTCTTATTTTTCTCCAACATCCGCCTGTAGGGGGACCTAAGCCCAGGGGGTCGGCGTGGGCCCCCGCTCGCCCACTCGTCGCCAATCGGAGCCTGGGCCCTGGGCCCTCCCCAGGCCCGCCCAGGAGCACGCGGCTCCGCTGCCGAGGGCCTCCCGCTGGTCTAGCGGCGACGCCTCGCCGCTTTCAGGGCATTGTTCCCCCCCCCCCCGAGCCGGTCCCCCACTTTCGGCTCCCCCCCCAGGTGAGCAGCAGTCGCCCCACGAGGCGGTGCCGCGGCTCGGAGACCCTAGCCTCCTGTGCGGGCGGTCGTCGCAGCCCCGCCTCTACGTGCACATCCTGCTCCACATGCAGGTCGCGGGCTTCGACCTGGTCCCCCGCCTGATCGGCCACCGCGGCTGCAACATGCGGCGCATCGCCACCGCCACGGGCGCCAAAGTCAGGATCCGGGGGCGCGGCAGCGGCTTCCTGGAGGGGAAGCACATGCGGGAGGCCCCGACTCCGCTGATGGTGGCCATCGCCACGCGGCGCGAGGAGGTGCATGGCTTCGTGAAGGCAGTGGGGATGACGCTCCAGACGCTGCACGGCATGGAGGAGGCCTTCCGCTCGCACTGCCACCGCCAGCGGGTGACGCATCAGGGCCCCTGCGCCAGCGTCGAGGGGCCCGCGAGGGACTTCCTCGCCGACGCGCTCCAGGAGGCGCCCTGGGCGGGCGACTACTTTTCGAGGCGGACGCGGCGCCAGGCGTGAGACGCGGCCAGAGGCGGCGCCCTGGGGTGCCAAATGGCGCCTCGGGCCATTTCTCCCTCCGCCAGAATCTGGGCGGCCAGGGCCGCCTCGCGGGGTTTCCGCGCAGGCAAGAGGCTCAAGGCTCGGTGGCTGCGTCGCAGGGTGGGCGAGGCGGCCACCGGGCCCAGAGGCTTACGCCGATGCTGCCCCTCACCGTGCACTGCCGACTACAATTCTGCTTGCTGCATGCCCGCTTCGCAGACCTGGCGTGCCACCCGGAGGCGCGCCAGTGCTAGTGCTATGCGACCGGTTCCTTGTCGTCCAAAGCCGCACCCTCACCACACCCTCCACGTGTGCAGATGCAGCATTCGAAACAAGTCTTCACGGACGCTAAACCTAGTTACCTGCCTGATTCCCATCCCGTCCTGACGCACTCGAGCTGCAGACCCAGTGATCTTCTGAATCGGCGTCCCTTTCAGCGCTACGGCTTCCTACGAGCGTGCTCGTCCGACCTTTTTCGTTTCGGTGCCCCGTCTGTTGCTTCACAGCCTCGGCGGGGCGGGAGCGAGGCAGGGGGGAGGAAAGGAGTGTCAGGGAGGCAGGAGGGGCCAAGCCTCCGCTCGCCGCGTGCGTTTTTTTTTGCTTCGAGGGAGAGGGCGCGCGTGCAGGCTGGTGGGCTTGGAGGGCAGTGGCCTGTCGGAGCGAGGCCCACCTCTTCAGGATGCTGCGCCCCTCTCCGGAAACGGGAGCATGTACATTACTGGTGGCTGGCGGCGGGCCCCCCCCTCGGATCATTTGAAGAGTTTAATCCTCGGGCGGCGCCTGCCGGGGGGGGGGGGAGGAGGAGGAGGGGGAGGAGGGGGAGGAGGAGGAGGAGGAGGGAGGAGGAGGAGGAGGAGGAGAGGAGGAGGAGGGAGAGGAGAGGAGGAGGAGGAGGAGGAGGAGGAGGTGGAGGAGGAGGAGCTCTGGGGCCCGGTGAACGCGCTTGCCGCGCCGCCCACCGTCTCGGTGTGTAGCCGCCCCCCGACAGGCTGCTTTTGCCATCGGCGCGCCTACACGCCCGTCCGGCCTCTCGGGCGAGGCCTCCGCCCACAGGCGCCGGCGGGCGGAGAGCCCGCGTGGCGTCGGTGGGCGTCGGCGCGCAGACGCTGCCAACGATTCACTGCCAGACGATGTCTTCTCCTGGCAGATGGAGGTAATTATCCGTCATCCCACATGGTGGGACACAGCATCGATAGCAAATGGGCTGGCACGCCGGGACACCGTGCATTCGGTCCGGATTCACGCTCGGGCTCGGACATGGCTCATGTGCCTGGCATTCCGGCTGTTCACAGCCTCTCATGCATCAGTTTCACATGTGAGTGCTGTTTTGCCGACTTCTGCCATGCAGGCGCCTCGGCGCCCTTATGGCACCATACGCGCGGAGCCGAGTCCGAGCCCGAGTCCGAGTCCGAGTCCGCTGCTGGGCGTCGCGCGCGCCACAGGGCGAGAGGCGCCGACGACAGAGCCTCCCCACGGCTGCAGCAGCCCCGCATGCAAGACCGCGACTCTGCGTCTTTATAAATTATATATTTCGCGTGGCCATCCCCCCTCGCCCTCCTCCTCGCCCTCCTCCTCGCCCTCGCCCTCCTCCTCGCCCTCCTCGCCCTCGCCCTCGCCCTCCTCCTGCCGCTGCCGCTGCCGCTGCCGCTGCCGCCGCGCGGGCACCCGCCCCCGGGCTCCCCCCCCCCGGAGGAGCGCGCTCCGCTCGGGGAGGGCCCAGGGGGGGGGGGTCCCCTGGCCCGGGGGATGGCCGGAGCGGGTCGCTCCAGCTCTCTTGGCGCTCCCATGGGGTCAAGTCGGGCCTGTCCCCCCAGAGGGGGAGTTTCGACGAAAAAATACGATCTCCCCCCAAGCATAGTCAGAAGATACTCCCAAAACAGCCTGGGGTCTATTTTTTAGTTTTTTTTTGACCTTTTTGGGGCATTTTTGGGGTATTTTTGTTTTTCGTCGAAAATCCCCCTGCGGGGGGACAGGCCCTACTTAATCCTGGGGCCCTCCGAGGGCTCCGCGAGGGGAGCCGTGGAAGCCGTGGGTCAGGCGAGAGGCCGCGAGGGGAGCCAGAGGGGGATTTTCTACGAAAAACAAGTGGCACGCGCGCCTTGGCTCTTGCACCAAAGGAGCTGGGAGGGACAGGAGGCTTTCGCTCCCTTCCTCCAGGAGTTCCTTCCGTGGCCGGGGGGAGGGGAGGACGAACGACGAACGAACGAACGACGACGACGAAAATAAAGAGGTCCGAGCTCTAGAACACAGCTGTGCAAGAGAATAAAGGGTTCCGTGGCCCAGGGGGGCTGCCCTGGGAAGCCTGGACGGAGGGGCTCTGGGAAGCCTGAACGGAGGGGTCCCAAGAAATCCCAAGAGCCTCCACATGGAGTTGGCCCAAAGAAGCCGGGGGAGGCCCAGGGGATCCCAAGGGGTCCCAAGAGCCTCCACGGGGAGGTGGCCCAGAGAAGCGGGGGGAGGCCCAGGGGGTCCCAATGGGTCCCAAGGGGAGAGCCCAGGGGGACGAACGAACGAACGAACGACGACGAGAATAAAGATGTCCGAGCTCTAGAGCACAGCTGTGCAAGATAATAAAGGGTTCCGTGGCCCAGGGGGGCTGCCCTGGGAAGCCTGGACGGAGGGGCCCTGGGAAGCCTGGACGGAGGGGTCCCAAGAAATCCCAAGAGCCTCCACGTGGAGGTGGTCCAGAGAAGCCGGGGGAGGCCCAGGGGATCCCACGGGGTCCCAAGAGCCTCCACGGGGAGGTGGCCCAGAGAAGCGGGGGGAGGCCCAGGGGCTCCCAAGGGGTCCCAAGGAGAGGGCCCAGGGGGACGAACGAACGAACGAACGACGACGAAAATAAAGATGTCCGAGCTCTAGAGCACAGCTGTGCAAGAGAATAAAGGCTTCGGCGGCCCAGTGGGGCTGCCCTGGGAGGCTCGGGGGAAGGAGGGGTTCAGGGCCCAGGGAAGCAGGGGCAGGCCAGCGGGTGATCCTGGGAGGCCTGGGGGAGGGGGTGTCCAGGGCCCGAGAGGGCCAGGGAGGACGACGAACCACGAACGAACGAACCACGAAAATAAAGGCTTCGGCGGCCCAGGGGGGCTGCCCTGGGAGGCCCGTGGGAAGGAGGGGTCCAGGGCTGAGGGAAGCAGGGGCAGGCCAGCGGGTGATTCTGGGAGGCTCGGGGGAGGGGGGGTCCAGGGCCCGAGGTGGCCAGGGAGGACGACGAACCACGAACGAACGAAACGAAAATAAAGCTTCGGCGGCCCAGGGGGCTGCCCTGGGAGGCTGGGGGAAGGAGGGGTCGAGGGCTCAGCAAGCAGGGGCAGGCCAGCGGGGATCTTGGGAGGCCGGGGAGGGGGGGGGTCCAGGGCCCGAGAGGGCCAGGGAGGACGACGAACCACGAACGAACGAACACGAAAATAAGCTTCGGCGGCCAAGGGGGGCGCCCTGGGAAGGCTCGGGGGAAGGAGGGGTCGAGGGCTGAGGCAAGCAGGGGAAGGCTGATCTGGAGGGTCGGGCCCGGGGTCCAGGGCCGTGGGCCAGGGAGGACGACGAACCACGAACGAACGAACCACGAAAATAAAGGCTTCGGCGGCCCAGGGGGGCTGCCCTGGGAGGCCCGTGGGAAGGAGGGGTCCAGGGCCCAGGGAAGCAGGGGCAGGCCAGCGGGTGATCCTGGGAGGCTCGGGGGAGGGGGGGGGTCCAGGGCCCGAGAGGGCCAGGGAAGACGACGAACCACGAACGAACGAACCACGAAAATAAAGGCTTCGGCGGCCCAGGGGGGCTGCCCTGGGAAGGCCGTGGGCAGGAGGGGTCCAGGGCCCAGGGAAGCAGGGGCAGGCCAGCGGGTGATTTTGGGAGGCTCGGGGGAGGGGGGGGTCCAGGGCCCGAGGTGGCCAGGGAGGACGACGAACCACGAACGAACGAACCACGAAAATAAAGGCTTCGGCGGCCCAGGGGGGCTGCCCTGGGAGGCTCGGGGGAAGGAGGGGTGGAGGGCTGAGGCAAGCAGGGGCAGGCCAGCGGGTGATCCTGAGAGGCCCGGGGGATGGGGGGTCCAGGGCCCGAGAGGGCCAGGGACGACGAACCACGAACGAACGAACCACGAAAATAAAGGCTTCGGCGGCCCAGGGGGGCTGCCCTGGGAGGCCCGTGGGCAGGAGGGGTCCGGGGCCCAGGGAAGCAGGGGCAGGCCAGCGGGTGATTCTGGGAGGGGGGGGTCCAGGGCCCGAGGTAGCCAGGGAGCGGACGACGAACAACGAAACGAACGAACACGAAATAAAGGCTTCGGCGGGCCCAGGGGAGCTAGCCTGGGAAGCGCGGGAAGGAGGGGTCCAGGGCCCAGCGAAGCAGGGGCAGGCCAGCGGGTATCTGGGCAGGCAGGGGGAGGGGGGGGTCCAGGGCCCGAGGTGTCCAGGAGGCGACGACACGAACGAACGAACCACGAAAATAAAGGCTCGGTGGCTCCAGGGGCGCTGACTGGGAGGCCACGGGGAAGGAGGGTCACAGGCCCAGGAAGCAGGGGCAGCAAGCGAGTGGACTGGAGGCAGGGGAGGGGGGGTACAGGGCCGAGTGGATGCGTGAGGACGACGAACCACGAACGAACGAACCACGAAATAAAGCGAGGCCGTGGGGGGGGGGGGCTTCGGCGGCCCAGGGGGGCTGCCCTGGGAGGCCCGTGGGAAGGAGGGGTCGAGGGCTGAGGCAAGCAGGGGCAGGCCAGCGAGTGATCCTGAGAGGCCCGGGGGAGGGGGGGGTCCAGGGCCCGAGGTGGCCAGGGAGGACGACGAACCACGAACGAACGAACCACGAAAATGAAGGCTTCGGCGGCCCACGGGGGCTGCCCTGGGAGGCCCGTGGGAAGGAGGGGTCTTCGGCGGCCCAGGGGGCTGCCCTGGGAGGCCCGTGGGAAGGAGGGGTCCAGGGCCCAGGCAAGCAGGGGCAGGCAGCGGGTGATCCTGAGAGGCCCGGGGGAGGGGAGGGTCCAGGGCCCGAGGTGGCCAGGGAGGACGACGAGCCACGAACGAACGAACCACGAAAATAAAGGCTTCGGCGGCCCAGGGGGGCTGCCCTGGGAGGCCCGTGGGAAGGAGGGGTCGAGGGCTGAGGCAAGCAGGGGCAGGCCAGCGAGTGATCCTGAGAGGCCCGGGGGAGGGGGGGGTCCAGGGCCCGAGGTGGCCAGGGAGGACGACGAACCACGAACGAACGAACCACGAAAATAAAGGCTTCGGCGGCCCAGGGGGGCTGCCCTGGGAGGCTCGGGGGAAGGAGGGGTCGAGGGCTGAGGCAAGCAGGGGCAGGCCAGCGGGTGATCCTGAGAGGCCCGGGGGAGGGGGGGGTCCAGGGCCCGAGAGGGCCAGGGAGGACGACGAACCACGAACGAACGAACCACGAAAATAAAGGCTTCGGCGGCCCAGAGGGGCTGCCCTGGGAGGCCCGTGGGGAGGAGAGGTCCAGGCCCCAGGGAAGCAGGGCAGGCCAGCGGGTGATTCTGGGAACCCCGGGGGGGGGTGCAGGGCCCGAGGTGGCCAGGGGCAGGCCAGCGGGTAATCCTGGGAGGCTAGTGGGAGGGGGGGGTCGAGGGCCCGAGAGGGCCAGGGAGGACGACGAACCACGAACGAACGAACCACGAAAATAAAGAGGTCCGAGCTCTAGAGCACAGCTGTGCAAGAGAATAAAGATGTCCGAGCTCTAGAGCACAGCTGTGCAAGAGAATAAAGGCTTCGGCGGCCCAGGGGGGCTGCCCTGGGAGGCTCGGGGGGAGGCTCGGGGCAGGGGGATCCTGGGAGGCTCGGGGGAGGGGGGGGGTCCAGGGACGACGAACCACGAACGAACCACGAAAATAAAGGCTTCGGCGGCCCAGGGGGGCACCACGAAAATAAAGGCTTCGGCGGCCCAGGGGGGCTGCCCTGGGAGGCCCTGGGAGGCTCGGGGGAGCTGCCCTGGGAGGCTCGGGGAGGCTCAGCGGCCCAGGGGGGCTGCCCTGGGAGGCTCGGGGGGGCTGCCCTGGGAAGCTCGGGGGAGGCTCGGGGCAGGGGGATCCTGGGAGGGCTCGGGGGAGGGGGGGGTCCAGGGACGACGAACCACGAACGAACCACGAAAATAAGGCTTCGGCGGCACAGGGGGGCTGCCCTGGGAGGCTCGGGGGGAGGCTCGGGGCAGGGGGATAAAGGCTTCGACAAAAAATAAAGGCTTCGGCGGCCCAGGGGGGCTGCCCTGGGAGGCTCGGGGGGAGGCTCGGGGCAGGGGGATCCTGGGAGGCTCGGGGGAGGGGGGGGCTCCAGGGACGACGAACCACGAGCGAACCACGAAAATAAAGGCTTCGGCGGCCCAGGGGGGCCTGAACCACGAACGAACCAAGAAAATAAAGAGGTCCGAGCTCTAGAGCACAGCTGTGCAAGAGAATAACATCTCCCCCCAAGACTCCCAAAACAGCCTGGGGTCTATTTTTTCATTTTGTTTGACCTTTTTGGGGCATTTGTTTTTTTGTTTTTCGTCGAAAATCCCCCTGCGGGGAGACAGGCCCGACTTAATCCTGGGGCCCTCCGAGGGCCCCGCGAGGGGAGCCGTGGAGGCCGTGGGTCAGGCAGAAAACATGCCACGAG